CCAAAAACATCTGTTAAACATAAGATAAAATCAATTTAAATAGGTTTTTAAATAAAATAAAACAAATATAAATTGTTTTTTAAACAAAGTAACTAAATATAAGTTGTAATGACTGGGTTTGTGTATTTGCTAATGGGAGTTACAAACAGTGTTAGGGAGGTTAATTGTTAAGATAATAAAATCCTGGGCTATATATTTACATGCTGGCAATGTAAGCCACAGGTTTTACGTTTCCTGGTCATTTTCTGCTGAGCTGCATCAAGCTAAATAAGGGGAAACCCAAAAGTCTTCTGTGCTGCTGTAATGCCTGGATTGTGACCCAAATTACCCAAAGTCCTGCTGATTCTTCTGTACTCATTACACTAAGATAGAAGACACCGGTTTCCTGACCTCATCATGCACTTCGATCATAGCTGATTTGTTGTTCCTTGCTACCCTGAAGGTAGATTCCTGCGCGGGACGGATTTTTCAGTCCCGCTCCTGCCCGCTCCCGCAAGATTCTGTCCCGCTCCCGCCCGCTCCCGCAAAAAATATATACTATTTTCTCCCGCTCCCGCCCGTAGTATTCAAGTTTTGTCCCGCTCCCGCCCGCAAAATCCCGCTACTCTGTTATTTGTTTCACTTGCTTCCCTTTTGAGTATATATAAAAAAGAAACGGAAAATAAACAAATATGTTTCGTTTTATTTGAGTTTAATTAAATGGAATGATGAACATGGACACGAACGAGGAGCTTTTCAATACATGCCATCCCGTCCAAGCACCAGGCTGATTAGTTGTATTAATCGGCAATTGTAGTTTCTGTAGACGATTCGCCTGTAAATTGTTATTATTTTAATTTAGTCGTTCCTGTTGCTTTTGTGCAGTAGATAAATAATAGAGTATTTTTTAAAATAAATTAATTGTAAGATAATTCCATTTTGCCGGAGTCCCGTGATTAATTCTATTCTCCCGCAACCGGCACGTACATGAGGACCTTACCGCCCACACCCGCATACACCCATCAAATCTTGTCCCGCGCCGCACTCCATGCGTTGGGTCCCGCGGTACTCCCGCGGGAGTGCAGGTCTCTACCTGGAGGTACAGGGGCTGCAGAATGAAACTGAAGCACCTGGTTTTAGATTACAGTCATTTATTAGAATGGTGTAGGGCCTCCTTTTCTGGCTAATACAGTATTTGTTTGTCTTGGGAAAGTCAGACATATGTCCTGCACAGTGGCCAGAGGAATTTTGAGTCACTCCTCTTGCAGAACAGTGGCCAGGTCACTAAGTGATGCTGGTGGAGGAAAATATTTCCTTACTCGGTCCTCCAAAACACCCCAAGGTGGCACAATAATATTCCGATCTGGTGACTGTGCATTAGGGCCGGTGGCGAAAAAATCAAAATTTCCAATAACAATGTTGAAAACTTCGATCGCATTGCGGAACCTGAAAATATGAACCTATTTCAAAGATATTTTGCACGTTTAATAACCAGGTCCAGTGACAACTTTTCCGCACTATTAGAAATTGCTATTGGAAATTTTGATTTTTTCACCACACCCTACTGTACAGACCATGAGGGATGTTCAGCTTCACTTTGTCATCAAACCACTCTGTCACCAATCTTACTATGTGTATCGGTGCATTATAATCCTGATACATGGCACCAACTTCAAGGTACAATGTTTGGACCACTGGGTGAACATCGTCTTCCAGAATATTTTGATTCTCCTTGACAGCCCATCTTGAACAAGTAGTGCGCCTAGGGAATGCCATGACATTGCAGCCCAAACCATCACTGACCCACCCCCCTGCTGCAGTCTGGGTACTCAGCAGTCTGGGTACTCAGCAGTCTGGGTACTCAGCAGTCTGGGTACTCAGCAGTCTGGGTACTCAGCAGTCTGGGTGGTAGGCCTCTTTGGGGCTTCTCTACACATAACTCAGTGAATCAGAGAACAATACATGTTTCACATTGTCCACATGCCAGGTTCTGTGCTGCTGGCACCACTGACACTGACATTTGACATTCACGAGTCACCAAAGGTTTGGCTACAGCAACCTGACCATGAGTGTTGATACTGTGGAGCTCCTGACGAGCAGTTTTGATGTTTAACAGGAGAGTCGAGGTGTGCATTTAATTCTTCAGCGAGTTGGGCAGCTGTGGTTTTATGCTTTTTGGATACTAACTGGGTTAGTACCTGGACACCCCTTTCATCTTCCTCTTGTATCAGTTACTCCTGTTGGATGTGGTCCATCCTTCATGGTGGTAAGCCAGCATTACCCTGGATACCGTGGCTCTCGAAGCACCACAAGGACTTGCTGTCCTGGTCACAGATGCACCAGTGAGATGCGCACTAACAATGCATCCTCTTTTGAACTCTGTCTCCCATTATGTTGTGTGGATTGCAATTTTATATGTACAGCTGTGCTGTTGCTCTGCTAATTTAACCTTCACACTCTGCTCTTACTGATGTAATGTGCAATCAGAATGAAGATTGGCCACTCGGTCACACACATATATAGTTGTGAAACCTCAAACACGATTGGCTAGTGTTTCAGGTTCATTGCCAATCCCAGTATCTAAATTTTGATACTTGCAGGTAGATCTTTTTGCTCCTGGAACATCCAGAAGGACTCTTAGAGACTTTTTGGATGCATTTTACCCCGAATGTAGTTGTTCTTTCTGTTTATCTTCACTGCATAATGCCTGAGGTCATCTCAATAGTCAAAGTATCCCAGTTAATCTCAGCAGGGTCTTCTGCATTCCTGAAATAGGAGGACGTCAATCACATTTGGGTAGTGCTCAGTTTCTCTGAACCTGAGAGGAACGTGAAGTATTGAACTCTGTTGCTTTTTTCCCTGGATTCATTGGATATCGGTGGACACTACAGTAGCTGTGGTCGAGTACTGCCTCTTCTTGATATTAGTCACATACATTGTTCTTGCTTACAGAACACAGATCTTGCTTTGCATCCATGTATGTTGTGATGGATTAACAGCCATCTACTAGTTGCAGAGTTATTCTGTTAATGCCTGTTATGTTTTATAGCCCATCCTCAGGCTGTTCTGGCTGTGGATACTGGATTTCTGCAGATCTTGACCAAAGACAGTCTGACGCTGAGGTGTGAGGTTGAGGGAAGCTCTGTTAGATGGAGCTACACATGGTACGCAGATGGATCTCAGCTTCCTGAAGACCAGGATGGACAGAACTTCACTGTGAGATCTGGGAATGACTCCTATCACAGGGAATACAAATGTAGAGGGAACACAACTGAAAAACCATTTTACTCCACATTCAGCAATGGATTGGTGCCAAACGTTATTGGTAAATACATTTTTCCTTAATTGAAAAAATTTCGTTCCAGTGTAATTAGAAGAAGACACCAATATCGAATAAAGACATAATAATAATATGTTACCTAAAATGAAAAATTTAACTAAACATTTTCTTTTATCCCATTCTGAACATGCATCTCTTATTTCCCTGTTTTTAATTTCCATTCTAGATACAATGGACTTTTCTCGTAGAGTGCTTCATGCTGATGGTTGTTTAGACAGACATCATTCTTTATTTCTTTTCCAGTGTTGCTCCATATTTTGGTGATTTCCACTTCTGGTTTCGTGCTCCTCAGCGTGATAACGCTGACTCTCGTTTGCCTCATACGCCGTAGGAAATCAGGTGGGTGTGGAGTGAGGCTGGGAAATTCCCTTTAAAAATGCATAAAAATTTTTATAGTCCAATCAAATACCATATTTCGCTTTCGAGTCTGTTACATTGTCACATTCCTTTTCTGGTTCACACATTATTTCACTAATTTCCTTGCTGGCTAGTTTCACCTGTTTAGGCCAGCTGAATAAACCCAGGGAAATCTACCCCTAGTGGTGGATCCCTTATTCTAAGTGCCAAGGGCCTTTAGGCAAAATGAAAATGAGTAAACATACTGCATGTTAGTTGACTAAAAGTGTCTTCAAATTGTCAAAAATTTGAATATGGATGCAAATTTTATTCTAATAATGAAATTCGGCCTCCCAGGCCAAACTCATTTCAGCTGGACACAGGCAAGATTTTTATATTGACGACAGAGCTTGTCTACTTACAGTACGTCTCAATCTTGTTTGGTGCATTAGGGTCACACTTCATCTAAATCACAAGCAGAAGCGTTTCTTCTGAAACCTGACGTGCCCGTAACTGTTGTGCTCGTGTCCACCTACTGTTTCTTTGGTTCCTTATAGGACAAAACAAGAAGATGCACGACAATGAGCTGTATGTTTCTTCTCTGGGCATGAAAAGCATCAATGTCGGTAAGAGAAGCTCTCAGCTTGTGATCAGGTCTGATGCCATTTCTTTTAACCATTGTCTTTGATCTCTAGGAAGACGTACTACTGCCATTTATGAGGAAGTAGACGACAACCCTGGAAAAGGTCTGTTTGCAGTATCGGTTTGGTTATTAGTACTAGTATAATACTAGTATTAGTATTACTGTTGTTAAGGTCATGTTACTTATAAAAATGTGAAGAATTCTGACAACACACACAAAGATATACATTATAATCATGTATTTATTTATGCATGTAAAATCCATTCTCTTATCTAGTTTTGTTTTTAGGTCTTCAAGAACAATCTGGATTCGATCTTTATTCCACTATTCAGAAAATATATTAAAACAAGGGATTAAGTTCCAATTATGTAATATTTAATATTTATCATGGTAACACTTTACTTGACAAGGCACAAATAATATAGTATTATGCTATTACTTATGTATTAATTAACCACAAACTAAGTTTTAGTTACATACTGATGTCATGTTAATTCATCATTAAGGAATCGTGATGCACATTTTATTTCAAGCAGTTACATATTTGTTGCTATGTCTGTTAATTCTGTAAACCATTGTGAACCACTGAAGGGACAAGCCATGGATAACACAAGAGCACAAGCGAAATACTGATCTCATGTTTGTTCATCATTCATGAATCGTGATCCATCTTTCATCTCCAGTAGTGACTGTATCTGTTTGTGATTTGCACTTCACTGGTAACTGAGTTATTACTAAGTATTTGTGCCCTGTCAAGTGAAGTGTGACCATTTTCATTCATCGTGAAATATCTGCTTTATCGTTTTGACACTTTAGAAGAGTCTTGACCTGTTTTTCGTCTTTGTAGATAGTACACCTGGTTACAGAACATTCCTCTGCCTGTTTCGCTTTAGACTGCACCTCTCTGCTGCTTATTTGTGGTTTATGTGAAGAACTGAACCTCGCACTAATAAAAGACAGGCCTGGTTTCTGTAAGGAAGTCACATTTCCCTTACAGTTAAAGAACATGTGACTCTTGTCTGACTACAGCATTGGTTGTTAATCATAGCTTCATACATGTTGCAGGTTAAGTAGCATTACTATTATCAAATGAAAATGCCTGACAAAGTAGATCAAGTTAATTAACTGCTAAGACGGAAACTAACTTGTTAGCAGTATTTCTGACAGTAATCAGTCTCTGCTATGAGCTTCTGAGAATATTTTCTTGCAGAGCGTAGACTGATTCATGCTGATGGTTGCTTGCAATTGCAATTGAGCTTTATTGCAGATATTTGTCATCTTGGGTTTTACATCTATTGGCATCTGTCCACAGGCATTTCCTCTCTGATCTCAAGCAAAAAAATAAGACAGAAGGGTGTGGTTTCTGAAAGTGCTGCTAAATGTAGCTACTAGCATCTGTCAGGCAAGTCTTATAAATGGTGAAAGAAGGTTTCTGAAAAGTTTGTCACAAATAAGTATAATGTACTAATGTAAGAAAAACAGAGCACACGCAAACTACAATGTAATATACTGATTTTGTACAAGTCGATAAAATAATTTAACGAGGGTGTTAAAAATTAATCATCAACATGATTAAATTTGAAATATACCAATTATATAATTTACATAAATAAATATATACAGGGGTCGAACAATAATGTCATAGTATTACACAATGTAAATTAATGTAATATATGATATTGTAATATCAACAATCTAACAGGGAGTAGGTCTTCTGCTTCCAAAGAGCTTCAGTCCTTCTGGGAATGCTGCAATACAGGTCCACAACTGTGTGTATAGTTAGGTACTGGACCATTCCTCCAGAAGAAGAGAATCCAGTTCTTTGAGGGATGAAGGAGATGGAGTTCCACTTCACACTCTTCATTCCCAAACATTCGGCAAAGGATCACGATGTTTACATCTCCTGATGGTCATGGAAAGGATCTGACTGCCCTGCAAGTGAATAAAGAATCGCTTCTTTAATTTTTTACTGAATTGAAACGCTTTATGTTCCTGGTTCTGTTAATATTAGACATGAGAAATATGTAACATTTACTGTAAATAAAAACAAAAACACAAGTTCCATATATAACCACAAACAGTTTCAATTATCAACTTTACCAGGGTTGCGAACTCCCACGCATATGGCGTGACACTCACGCTTTCGGACTCTGACGCAAGAAATCCACCTACGGCGAATCTACAGTATTATTCCATCATAAACATAAAATTAGCTACACCAAAAGCGCTGGGATAGTTTGCAAACCCTACAGACTATTTACAAGATAATAAAACTGCTACATACATGTAAATGCCTGTGCACATGTGTGCAGACCTGTATCGATTTGAAAATCTAACGCAAGCCAGCGAGTTTGGCAACCCTGATTACCTTTGCGTGACACATAATTACCGTTAATAAAATTATTCCTGGGCAGCATCACAATAGTACTGTGCTCGTCAATAATAAATAGGGCCTAATAACAATAAAAGAGAAAAAAGCGAATGATAGCTGGCAATTGAATATTGAATAAGACAGTCAAAGTCTTTACCCCACAGATGGATGGAACGTAGCAAGATGAAACTGGCCACTCGGTGCAGTCTAATCGCTTATAAAGTAAATAAAAAAACAACATGAGTTTGGATTTCAAGATTGAGCTTCAGGCGAAACGATCGACTTACGCAGTGGAAACTGAAGCGTTTTATTGCAGCGCCATCTTGTGGCGAAGAGAAAAACTCTAATTATTACCTGAAAATGAGAGGATTTCCCAGCTGTTACCCGAAGATTACAAGTGCTTTCTCTCTTTGCTCGTTTTCTGTTCTTTTTCTGTTTTGAAACATGCTAATGTAAAAGTTTTATTTTAAGCTTTCAGTTTTTTATACGTTTTTTAAGAGCATTTTATTAATAGACAAATTCAACTTAGAAAGACTTCCAAAACAGCACCTATACACTTTCAGTTCATAAAATGATACAACATCTTCAGAACAAACATGGGTAATCTGGTGTATATAAAAGCAGCTCTATGATCACTTGCCACTGCAAATGGTTACTCATGAGCCTGAGCCACCTTAGCTGAATTATATTTTTAACGGAAAGTAAAAATCCTGCTATCAGGTGTCTGGGAATGTTAACATCCCCATGAGATCCCGGAGAGTGGGTCCAACAGGCTGCTTCATACACTCCCTATGGTGAAATAACTCAGGAGCACAAATGCGACATTGAGCATGCTCAGTGCTAGAGTTAAATGATACGTAGTAACAGTCTCCTGCAGGCCAAGCAAGCAGGGACACCTTTTGAAGATGAAAAGAGATGGCATCCGTGTGAAAGACCATGTTCTTCTGGAGCAGGACATCTTTCCATACCGTAAGCAGCTGTTATTCCCTTACTTCAGCCTGGCTTCTTGGCTTTTACTTTTTAATTACTTGGCAGTGGTCCACTTCCAGTACTGTTCCCATCACCAGTGTTCTTCCCCAGCATCCTCACTGAATGGGCTTCACTCCACATAAATTCTCATTGTTTGGCGTTGGATGATCCGCTGCCCTTTGACCTCTGACTAAGGATGCTTCAGTCTAAATAGATCATTTACTTTTAGCTTGACATTCTGTCTGCCAGTGAGAGAAGTACATTTTGTCAGCTGATTTATTGGGTTATTTCAGTGTTTAAAAAAAGAAAGTAATTTTGCTTTTACTTACATCAAGTTGCTGTGCAATGATTTACACTCCAGCCTCAGATTAACAGCAAATAAACCTCAGAGATTATTTACTGGTACATTCAAGACCACATTTTAAGAAACTCCGTGTCCTAGCAGACCATGAATTCAAATTCAAAATAACTTTATTTGTCCCCGATGGGCAATTAAAGACACACAGGGCAATTGAACAAGGACACAATGACATAAAGTGCAACAGTATTTAAAAGATGCTGTGCAAAGTTGCAGTCAATCAGGTAGATGAGAACTAAATAAATATGTGAAGGGAGTGCTTGTTAGCGGGCATGGGGGGGGGGGGGGGGCTCCAGTGCAGGGAAGCGGAGGGGAAGAGAAGTTTTGAGGGGTGAACGGCCCTGGGAACAAAGGTCGCTCTCCTCCTCTGTGTCCTGCAGCCGGGACAGCGGAGCCGTCGTCCTGAGGGGAGCCGCTCAAACTCTGGGAACAGAGCATGGGAGGGTCCTGCAGAATCCTGCATGCTGTTCTTGGAGTTTGCTGCTCACTCAGGGATGAAAGTGCTCTGACCGGGAGGCCGATGATCTTAGAGCAGACTTTCCCTATGTTGTGCAGGCGGGTCCTATGCTGCAGGCTGGTGGATTGATACCAGCAGACGATGGAGAAACAGAGGACACCCTCAATGATGGAGCAGTAGAAGGTTCTGAGCATGACCTTGTTGACCCCAAAGCTGTTGAGCTTCCTTAGGAGATATTGCCACTGCTGACATCTCCTTAGAATGTCCTCGGTGTTGGAGGCAAACTTTAGGGTGCAGTCGAAGAAGGTGCCCAGATATTTGTACTCCTCCACCACCTCCACTATCTGCCTGTGGATTATGCTGACAGATCCTGTCACCAGCTCCCTCTGTTTACTAGAGAAGGTCACCACCATGTCCTTGGTCTTCTCCACGTTTAGCTCCAGGGAGGCATTATCACACCACTGCACAAACTCACTGAGCACTGAGCTGTGCTGATGTGAGGAGCCGGAGAGCAGAGGCAGGAGGACTGTGTCATCCGCGTACTTCACTGGATGACAGTCTGGGTGGGTGGACCTGCAGTCGTCGGTGTACGGGATGAACAGAAGAGGTGACAGGGCGCAGCTTTGGGGGGAGCCAGTGGAGGTGATGGAGAGGTCAGAGGAGGTGGTGTTGACCAGCACTCTCTGTGTCCTGTTGGTCAGAAAGTTGATGATCCGCAGAGTGAGCTGGTCATCCAGGTGGAAGCGGGTGGAGAGCTTCTCTGCCAGGATGTGTGGTTGAATGCAGATGAGGAATCTGCAAACAGGAGTCCAGCTGAGATGGTGGGGAGTTCCAGATGCTTGTGTAACACATCCAGTACTCAGCATGGACATCTATTATGGATAGAATATAGTACAGATGCTTTAATCGTCCATGTGGGGAAAATGCAATAATCTAGACTGATATCTGTATACAAAAACACCATATTATGTTATATTGTAAATGAAAGCAACATATTGTTTTATAGATTATTTGAAATTTTGGATATATAAAATATTGGTAGGTGGTTTCCCACTGTGATGTTTCCTGAACTTGTTTGAGAAGCTCTTCTTTGCACAAAACTGTCCCACAAAGTGAAGGAGCTGAATTATGATGAAATAACATGCATCAGCTTTCCAGATTATTTATGAGGGTCCACTGAACCATTTATGGCTCTTATAGATGTCAGACCAGTCCTAAACGTGAATCACCAAACCAAGTTAATCGTATAAATGGTGACAAGGAGCAAATCAATCCTAAACGAGTGACGGATTTCTCAGTCTTTCAGTTTTTCAAAAACCCATAAAACACGATGCATTAAAAAGTCACAAACCAGCAGCACGAAAACGGTCTCGGGTGAGGTTTGCTATTGCCTCTATACGCACATGATGCTCACATTAAGATTATTCACAGCAAGCTATTTGCACGGGGGGGAAACCCCCCCAGCTCTACAGAAGATACTGCACTAGCGATGATTTGTATAAGTACTGCACGGAGTCTGTGTGTCTCTCCTCTAAAAAAGGAACATATTCATTATTCATGAGGGAATCGCTTTAGCCTGCCTGGAAATCCCTTAATGGAAATCTGCTCTGAGGCATCTAGCCCTGCCACACGTCCCGGTGCAGGTCAGTATGGTCGTTACACAGCACTGGGAAAAAACATATACAAATGAGACCCCCCGACATAATAAGGAAATGAATGCAGAGCATCTCCTAAGGAAATCCCCCTTGCTGGGTGTCTCCAGCAGCTTCTGCAGTTTAATCGCTGCGACTGTTCTGGTTCTTTCACTGATCTGCACCCTGCGCTTCTGCTCCTTTCCGGTCCATCTCCCCCCCGGCTCCCCCTCCCTCCATATAAACATACTGCGTCTAAATTTGCCGAGCTCAGCAGTCTCTCTCCTCGGGAGAAACGGCGAAGGGGATGGGGCGGGGTTGGCGGTAGGTGGGTCTGTGTGCGGCTCTGAAACGCCCCTCCACGCCCCCCCATCCTTATTAAAGATGAGGGTTTTTATTATTGAACAGCTGCCCAACCAATGAGACGGCAGCGCCGGGAAATACAGCCGCAGAACAGCAGAGAGCTTAGTTGGGAAAGAAAACTGCAGTGTGTGTAGTTATCCCCCCCCCACTGATCTAATCAATTTAGCGCTTCATTCCCCCGGCTTGGGCTGGCGTTGCAGTGACCGCACTCAGGATCCGACTCACCTGGGACCCCCTGCGGATCCTCATCTATATGGACGGGTGATATATTAGCAAAGTGGCAGCAAAGACCTCTAAGTGCAGTAAAAAAAAAACAGGTTCCCGCCTATTTACGACTCGTCCTAGTGCGGTTGAACAGCACAGAAGTTTCCTAACGTTGTAGGCATCTACGCTGAAGGTAAGGGACAGTCTCCCGTGCGCTCCGTGGATGTGCAAATTCCTCTGCTATTGCGGTTTTATCTTCTGTTCTGCTTGCGCCTAAAGCATGCATTTCCTTTCTAATATCCATACGTTTCCGAGTAAAGGTATTATGGGATCAAACGCAGAGAAATGAGTTTATGATGAGTTCTATTCTAATATTGCTCAGATTGGTTTGTGGATGGAAGGTAGGAGGATGAGATAGCCGAATATGTGTGGTTTCTTTTTAAGTTTGCATGCGGTGCAACATTGTGTTACAGCCACGCAGTGAATCTTCAGCATTACGTTACAGCCACACTGTGAACCTTCAGCATCCCGTTACAGCCACACTGTGAATCTTCAGCATCCCGTTACAGCCACACTGTGAATCTTCAGCATTCCGTTACAGCCCATAGTGCATCTTGAGCCTGGCCGTCTGTCTTCGGCACCAACGTGGCCCCATGTACCGCTGTCAATTGGCATACTTTGAGAAAGCGTTCTGAAAATGAACAGAATGTGTTCACCATGGGTATTTCTGAAATTGATGTAAACACACACACACACACACACACACACACACACACACACACACACATAGGTATTGTGACCCCTCTTCCCTTGTGGCATACATATAAACGTAAGGTCACTGTATTCTTATAGATACGGTTTCAGCAGTTTGTGAATTTATTGATGTGGCTGCACGGTTGTTCAGACTTTGGTTGGAAGCGCATGATTGTGGCCGGTTCCCCTGCTGGGTCAGGATGCCCGCTGTCCCGCGGGAGAATAGGATTCCACTTCCAGGTTAAGAGCTAATTTGTAATCCTCATATCACGCTGCGATTCCCTGATTGCGATGACCTTTTTATTTTTTTGCTCAATAATTTGTTCTTAGCTTTACATTCGGGTACCCCTAATTCAGCCAGCAGGGGCCACTGTTTCGTATTTTATTGATTGAAAGATGACATAAGAACAACGAGCATATTAAAATGGTTGTTCGTCACAATGTGACATTTAGTCAATATTTTGCAGAGATTTGTATAGATCGTTGAACTGGACTGTGATTAAAGTGAAAAATCTCCCTTTACTTAAGATGATTTACAAAAAGGTCTTGAAATTCGTTGTGGGACAAAGTGACTGTTGAAGAGAAATATATGGAACACAAAATACACACTAAGCCTATTTACAGATACTAAACCTGCATGGCTTCTCAGCAGGCTTTGTGGTAAACGAGGGAACGTAAAGCATAATGTCAGGCCCGTAGGCTGTTTGTGGATTTATGTCATATCTGTTTTGGTGTGTGTGGGGGGTGCTGGTTATCCTCTTTTCTATCCAGTGAGAGCCCTCCAATTAATCACTGCCGCCCCCCTCGTGACCAAAAAAAAAAAAAAAAAAAAAAAAAAGGGAAGTGATACAAGGTGCTTAAAGATGGACCCAGACTAAAAATATCGCTCCGGCATCAGAGCTCAGAACTCTGGGGGCTGCAATGCAATAAGCTGTGTCGTTAGCGTGAGTGATGATTCGAGAGCCGCGCGGCTGGGGCTCTGTTCTCCATGCAGAATGAGGAAAGCGTAAGGAGTATCGCTTAGGTGACGCCCCAGAAGCTCACCTGCACACACACTGGCGGGTGGAGTCTTGCTGATGGATCGCAGAACTGAATCTTTGCTCTTCGCTCCTTTGTTAAAGGGATAGTTTCGCTGGAAATTCTGCCGCGTGCGGAATGCTATCGACTCACTTTTTATTAGCGGCATTAACTGGTTCTTTAAAATGCATTGAGAAAATAATGACACTGGCTTCTCGGTGGAGATGAGAAAATGAGGAATGTAGGGGGAACCCTGTCAACCACCCCCCCTACCCGCCCCCCAATCCCTTGAAGCCCGACAGCAGTTTTTTTTCTCAGTGAATCCAACCATGGAGGTTCTGCTTCTGCCCAAGACAAATCCATCTGCATTTGCGTTATAGATATGTGTGTTTTCCAAGGATTTCTGGTGCAGAATTCAAACTCCCCCTCTTCCTTATTCATGCACATTTCTTAAAAGCGCAACCGTGATGGAGGGTGACTATTTTTGCATCCTTGTTCAGTCCTTAATCTTCCCGGCTGGCGATGGTACTGACAGGCCATTGTGCTGCATGGAGAGTCCTCCATCTTTGCCTTTCCAAAGATTCAGCGAAACAGCGAAGACCTGTGCATCTACGCTCGCTGTGTTTCTTTGATGCATTTCAGAGTGCATATGCCTTTTTTAAAACACAATGAGCATCTCAGGGTTGTTTTATATCACAGAAGCCCAGCGTCAGTGTTACTGAAGGCTTATGAAAGTCTTATGAAAGCAAACAACTAATCAGCTGAAAAGTACTCAGTTTGGGGTATAAATTCCAATTAGCATTGATCCCATCAAAACAAGTAGGTTATATAAAAATGTATCCATAATGATTATATTCCATAGCTAAAAGCCAAATATTAACTTTAAGTGTAATTGTCTAATTTAGGCCTCATTATGTGGACACATGTTAATTTGATTAGCGCCTGCCTTTGCATATAGAACAGTAGTGGAGAAAGTTATGGGCATGCGTAGAATTGTTTAAAAAGCGAATGATGTGAAAATTCAAGAGAGAGACACCTGCCGGTTATGTTGGAGTTGGATTCAGGGCCTTAGTCAGCGATGAGGTCACCAAGGTCCAGACCACGATAATTTTTAACAAGTAAAAATAAAATTTTAAGCTTAATATCCCCCTGAATAAAGAATTAGGCTAACTTATGTTTCACACAACTAATAATATAAATTTAAAATAAATAAAATAAACAGCTTATGAAAGGGACAGTATCAATAATGTGATTGACGAGACCCCTGGTTGGGTTATGTCACTTGTCCGTCATTCATGTATGAAACTTTAAAATGACATCATCCTTGCCAAACTCAGTCTTAAATGATGCACTTCCTGTCTGCTGGCTCAGTTTCCTGTTAGCTGTCATAGTCCTTAATACTCACACTAATTGCTGGTTTAACCTGGATGTGGATGACAACTGTTTAGGTGTTACTTGTTCTTGGAGTCCCCCTCTTCAGAGTTTATGGAATTCTGGAAAACAAATGCAGATTCTTGAATCCAAAAGCAGATTCTGGAATCCAAAGGAGTATCCCTCAGTCCAGATTCTGATTCTGGAATCCAAATAAATTCTGGGGTCTTGAGTCTCTTTGCGAGGCTGGTAGAAGAATGAAGTCAGTGATCTGTTTCCATCTAAGCCCTCGCAATAGACAGCCCATGCTGCTGTGCACTGGCCAGGCGGTGGAAGGGGGGAGGTGCTGCCGTATTTGGAGGCAACAAACAACTTGCAGGGAACCGAGTTTCACTTTGTTAAGATTCAATTCCTTTTTTATGTCCCACTAATGACATCTCCCTTAGCATCCGGCTGCTGCCAGAAGGCTTTTGGAAGATTGCGTTGTTAGTTCAGCCTTGCAGAATAGTGAAAACTCCACATGGGGATGTACTGTATGAAATCAGTGCTGAGCAGAGTCACAACCCACTGCAAAGTTGGTGCTCAGAACTGGGCAGCGCCTTTGAAAGCAGAGAGACCCAAAATAGAAAGTCATTATGCAAATTAAAAGGAATAAAAATAACCGGCAATATCAGTTTCATTTTAACTTTGCCATTGTTCAATGACTGACACAGACTTTAGCTTGAAAACCAGGGAAGTCGTTTGTTATGTGATTTTTCCTGCTTTGTTTGCAGTGCTACGAAAGGACACACAGCTGTTTTTTTTTTAAATGAGGAAATAGACATTTAATAATCAAGGTGGGTTCCACCTTCCCTCCAGTGCATGTATCTGTCCTCCGGAAGCTGTGCGTGAACATCTACACTCACGGTCTGGGTAACTACTGAGTCTGCTAAGGTGCAGAAAAACACTGGAGGGAAAGATGTGATGGATCAATCATTGCAGAGTGCAGGATTGCCAGACAGACCAGCCGCAGCTCTCCTCAAGGTCAGCAAGGCTGTTTGAAAGACTCAACAACTCTCTAGGACACATGGTAGAAAAACTGAACCACAGAAAATTGCTTCATGGAAAATAAATATGTAGGTAAAACCGTCAAGAAAGTGACACTCCTCTCATTTTCGAGACATCCGTGTACGTCTCACACTGAGGATCTGAGACAGCTTTGGTGGTGATATAAACAGTGTCTTTTCACATCTTCTGTTTGGTCCCCCTTTGGTTTGCTGCCAGTTTCATACAGCGTGATCCTTAAGTCTCTGAAATGCGTCTGAAGCGGCTGTCGCTTCAGCATTTTCAAAATGCCCGGTCCACGTCTCTCTCATTATCTCACTCACATCCTCGATATCTCATTACCTCATATTTCTTTGTCTCAAAGGAAACCCAGCCGGTATCAGGAAGTCGACATTGATGATTATAACATCCCCAGGACAAAATTTGTCACTGGCGTATGAAAATCAGATCAAAGAGCATATCTTGATGGATAAATGAATGCTTGCAAACTACTATGTAGTTAATTTGCTTCCATTTTCAGCAGAGCCGTTGAGCGCAGAGGCTTTTCTTCAGCTTTGTTAATCGTTACTTTTCCTTTTTCCTGGACAGACCACAGGCCTGTACGCTGAGGGGAGTCTTTTTTGCACAAAAATGGAGGAGTTGCATCATTTGTGAATAACCTTAAGAAAATTTGGTGCGAGCGTCACAGTTACTGTATTAATTATGGATCACAGAAGATCCATTTACAAAATGTAGAACAATATCAGCTTTACTGCTGATTTCTCTCAGCTGGCATGTAAGTCATGGCATTTCCCTCTCCTTCATTTAGAGAGAAGAGTGTGTGTGTGCATATGCATATATTTTATTCCATTTATTAAATTTTTAAGTTTGATTGTAATGTTGGAAAAACACTGTGAAATTCTTACATTACAGTTACAGGGAAGGGGGCAGGTGGATTGGGGACAATACTACAGATGGCAGCGCTGTACAGGGCAGATGTCAGTGGAGTACAGGCCAGACAGCAGTGTA